TCAGCCCGTCTGGGTTTAAAAATGTGTTTGGTACCATTCGTAATAGGTTGGTTACCAAATTCTCATCCGTGGCAAACACAAGCCTCTGGTTCTTCCTGAAGCCTGTGCGGCATCTGGGCTCAATCCCTGGATATCATGAGGTAAAATATTCAGAGCTTGGGGCCTGCTCGTCTTAATCCTCAGCTTCAAACTGATCTTGTACATGCCGCACCTGTGCGTGTGGTGTCTTGACGTGCCTGGAGCCGGTTGTTACTGGGGTTAGATGGGGGTGAGAGAACGTTTGCCAGACTTCGCATTAGAAATCTCAGTCAAGGCAGTGTTCAGTAGGGGTATTATTTATTCAACTCCATTTCTGTGTTTAGTGTGCAGTGTGTAGAGAAAGTTACAGCTCAGATTGCAGAAGAAACACCCCTGGACTTATCCTACAATACCTATTGTACTGGACATGCCTTGCCGCAGTTCAGATTCTTTATGTAACCCAGCTCCAGGCAGGGACTGACAAAGCGTGCAGGTCGAATCACTCCCAGCCCCATTAGCTAGTAGCCCCAGCCTTCAGCACAAATAGCAGGAGACACAGCTAGTAGCCTCCCTCCTCTCTGGAAGGCCCCACCTAACCTCAAAGGCCGATTGCTCCACGCCACTTACCCCACTCAGCCAGCAGCAGAGCGGGAGGCACACAAGGTCTGGTTCTCCGGCTTGGGAGATTCCGTAAATAGTCATATATGCATCCGAAGAAGTGGGCTGTATTAGAGCTTATGCTCTAATAAATGTGTTAGTCTCTAAGGTGCCACACGTACTCCTGTTCTTTTTGTAACTAGTCAATGACACCACCACCACCACCACGGCAGGGCGCTGCACTCCTAGGTCCTGTGTTAATGGGAAGGGAGAATTATGCTGGAAACTGGGACGCAGCAAGTCAAAAAAGGAGAAAGCGTGAGTGAAAACTACTTACTGTCATTAACCACTGAAAGTCTCTGAGGTGGTAGGTCCCCAGCTGTCAACATCACAGGTCACCATATTCCAACTGGCACTATGAACCAGCCCAGCCTGGGAAGAGAGAAGGGGGCTGGGACCGGAGCTGGGAGGCCGAGAACTGAATGGAATGTGGAGACTGAACAATGCGAATTATTTCTGTCCAAACAGGCTGTTGCTGGGACTGTTAGCGCTGGTTGCAAAATCCTTCATGCTATGAAACAACAGCCAAATCCTCTCTCCGTCCCACTGCATTTTTGGGAGCAAGGGAAAATGGCAGGTGCAAAAACAAGAACGGGGGAAGGTGACATTTTAGTCTTTCCCCCCAACTAGATATTTTTAAAGGAACATATTCCGTTGCCCAGAACCAGGCAAACACCAGAGGTGGGTGATTTCTGGCCCTGTGTATGTGCTACACCAAAACAGCAATACATTCAGCTACATGTTTAACATGAAAAAATATATATATATTTTGTGCTCATAACCGGGCCCGGTTAATGGCGCTGGGAGCAGCTTTAACTTCTTGTTAAATTGTGAATTAAAGTTCTAAGTCGGGGACCTTAACACTGCATTCCTGTCAACTTTTGGATTTCATACATGCGCACAGCACACAGATAGCGTCAAGAGTTTAGGATTAGCCAGCTTGGGAGAATTTTAATTAGAAATTCCTGCTGTTGTACTGCCCCTGCCAATCCCGACGCTGCTTGTGTGCTCTGGTGCTGGATCGGGGGGGATTTGAATAAATCAGTTTAGGTCTCAGCTCTATAAAGGCCACTTCATTTTCCTCACATACCCATGCTCAGATATCTGAAATCAGACCAGTTCCTCCAACTTTCCAAGCGCAAACTGGGAGTTAACTCGTCTGCAGGAAGGCTACAGATTTTTTCTTAACAGCAGCTTTCTATTGACCTCAGGTTTACTGCATTACTGTGCACAGACCAGGTTCCTGCCCAAAGCCTTGTTTTCATTTGCTTCTTGGGGATCATTCCTTGTGAAGGTCAAAGGCCCAGAGCTAAGCCCTATTTTCTTCTTGTGCTACTGCCATTGGCCTGTATAAGTCCCTTTAGACTGTGAGCTCTTTAGGGCAGGGATGGCATTTTCTGTTCAGGCATGTCGTTTTTTTTTTTTTTAAATTGTTATTACTACCAACAGCCTATACATCTGTGGTGTTATGCGGAATAATCAGTGGCATGATTACAAGTGCTTAGCACAGAGGTGCATCAGGAAGGTTACTATGCAGTCCAGGGGGTTTAAATGTAGGTTGTGATTTCCAGATGCTGTCACAGTAAGGTCACCATGCAGAGGTTGAGAACGACTGGAGGGTATTAGCACTCTTCATGACCCAGTGTCCAAGCAGTTATTGCATGGCCCTAGGGTGTGGCAACGCCAACGTATTGTGCTGAGAAGGATGAAGTGAGTGTGTAAGGATTCACATCTGCTTATTGCACAAGTGACAGTTTCAGTTTTACATCTCTGACCTGTCCAGGCTAAGGTCGAAACCGTACTAATAAACACCCCCCTCCTCAGCTCTTGCCAGTGTGGCCTTTTGCCTTCCACAATGGAGAAACCAGAGGACCTACAGACGATGGATGCTTTGAACCATTTCCACAAGCCTAGAAATGACTGGAACCAAGTCAAGTGAAAATAATGGTAAAATTTTATTAGCATAATCACAGGGATTTTAAATGGAAAAAGCAGAGTTAGAAGTTTACAAGGAAAAACAAATGAAGTAACTGTCGACCCAGAAGGAAATCCCCCCAAGCTATTCGGGGCGTGATTTGATTGAGACCCACCTTGTCTGATAGCTCTTTGATTGCACTGCCAGAGTTCATCAGATTAGGAGATCATTGTAAACAGAGCACTGAGGCCTTTT